CGCACAGCCCGCCGCCTGGGCTCCACCAACAGCCAGCTCCCCGAGTCAGCAGCGGGTCGCGCCTGCCCTCCAGTTGGGGGAGCTGGGCGAATCCCCGCTTCTGTCCCGCCTCGCTGGTGCCGGACGCCTTTGTCTGACCCTTCCCGCTTTCGGTGATTTTCTGCGCCTACGGGGGCTGTGAGGGAGCCACGAAGATCTGGGGTGCTCGGAGGACGCGCAGCGCAGGAACCTCCGGGCCAGGGCTTGAAGGGCTTTGACCTCCACACTCTGGGCGTGGGTATGGTTTTACTTTCTCTGGGGTCAAAGCCAGCTGCTTCCATTATCGTTGTGGTCAGGGGTCAGGAAGTCTGGGTCCAGGATAACTGTTACCTCCACCTTCCCTTGTGCCATAGGCCGTCGACCTTACCCACTGGCCCTCCTCCCTCTTTCCATCTTGCCACTACCTGGGGCAAAAAAAGGTCCGTCTACAAGAGCCTTGCTGTTTGCACAAAGAAAAAATTCAGATGATTTTTGTGGACCTCTATCTGGTGGGGAAGTTACAGAGATTGTTTTAGTAATCCGTATACAAAAACCAAGATGTGGGAATAAGGGAGGGGCAAGAGGTGTGTTCTTTAGAAGTATAATCTATTAAGAGTATTTTAAATTTTTTTCATTAGTGCGTGTTTGCAGTACATAATGATTACATTCCTCACGGGGAGTTGGTGCATCATGTACATAATATCTCCTTCCCTTTTTCTTCCTACCCCCTCCCTCCATCTCTTCCTCCTCTACCCTTTTGCAAATACTTGTCTCCACTGTTTCCAATTATCTTTTATTTTTTTCTTTATTAGATTTAAAACTTTTTTTTTTTTTTTTTTTTTTTTTTTTGCCATGTTGATAGAACCTCATGTCCTCAAGGATGCTAAGCAAGCACTGCAGCACTGAGGTACATTTCCAGCCCAAATTCTTTACACATTTAGATTATTTAAATTATTCTTAAACAGGTATAGCATGAACGAATATCGTTTGAAATATACATATAAATTTTAAGTGATGTGGACAATGTTTTAGAATTTCAATTGAAGCTTTCTTAAAAAAACACCCCAACAGGGTCTTTGCCCCCAAATCTGTTTTAGACAAATAAAGCAGCCCATTCCCTGCTTCCCGAATCATGTGGTGTGAAAAGTGATGTATATACTGTGCACATACAGAACAGTGCCTTTTTCACTAATAAGTAACCAGGTCCTTCAAGAATGTTGTTCATTCAAAATTAATTTGACTAATCTGCAGGACACAATTCCCATTTATTTTTGCACAGTGAAAATAATCATTTAAATGAGTTGTGGATCTTCAGTTTGGAGTGGATTGCAATAGACACAATGAGTCATCAAGTTTTTTTGTTGTTTTTTGTTTTGGTACTGGGAATTGAAATCAGGTCTTATGCTTACAAGTCAGGCAACAGAACCATTGATAAATTACTGGCCCCAAACCTCTCAAGTTTTGTGGCTTATTAATTCAGCAAACATTTTTGGCAATATATCATACTGTTGGTCACTTCTAGGAATCAGAAACAAGTACCCGCCCATAAGAGAAACCATAGTAGTGTAGGTTAAAGGGAAAAATAAACAAATTTCTCAGGATCTTTCAAAGATTTCCAGCATTCTTCCAAGACCTTTTTCAAGCCTTCATTCCACAGAATTTTGTCAAACTCAGCTAGGAATACACGAAAGGACATTACTTTTGGATTCACTCAGTTTTATTATCTGACTTTGAAATGGCTCTTTTTTTTTTTTTTGTACCTAGGGTCGAACTCAGGGCCTTGCAAGGCAGGTGTGGCACCACTGAGCTAAATCCCCAGCCAAATTGGCCAACTCTTTGAAAAATAATGAAGTTCTGTAAAATTATTTTCTACTTGGTACAATTACAGTTATTAATTACTGGGATTTTTTTTTATGCCAGTAATGACCAAACTAGGAAGGGGAAAATAATGGTAGTAATAAATTATTGCAGACAGTGTGCTGGGTCTTATAGTATTATTTGGTTCTCAGTAGTCCTAAACATGGGTATTTTCCTTATAGCTGAGACAGTGGAAGCCCCAGGTTGTACTGCTAGAGTGGTAAAGCTGCTACTCTATTTGTTAGCAGCATACATCATTGAGATATTAGTATCCTTTTACCTATCATATTAATCTTTTTTCTTTTTATTTATTTATTTGGTACAGGGGATTAAATCCAGGGCTTTCAAACTGAGCTACATCCCTGGCTTTTTTTTTTTTTTTAATTTTGAGGCAGGCTCTTTCTTTTCTTGGGCAGGCTCTTTCTAAGTTGCCTGGGCTGGACTCAAACTTGCATTTCCCTACAATCTGGTCTGTCATATTAATATTGATGAATCTGCTTAATCCAGGAGCTCAGGAAGAGTAATGCTATTACTACAAACATATATTGTATGCCAGGCTATACTTGGCATCCAAAGAATCCTCAGAAATATGTGAGCTAGCTACTATTTTTACCTTTGTTTTACAGATGAGAAAATTAAGGTATAGATATTTTCTGAACCAGATAATCCCTTAAATAGTAAAACTGGGTACAGCCTTGGAAAGTCTGACTCTGGAATCTACACACACAACTACTACATTGCACTGGCCCTTCAATAAGGTATGTCTCTGGGTGATAAGAAACTATGATTTTAGAATGTTTAATATCTTTGTGTCTTTTTTTAATGTTCATACAAACACATGGAGAACAACTATAATGTCTACCACCTACTATGCTATATCCCTGTGTTAGGCAAACAGTTACATAGTACTAATCATAGTTATGCTGAGAGCTTACAACATTCCAACCCCTATGCAGTGGTTTAAACATCTCAATCCTCAACATAGTCCTAGAAAATAGCTAGTGTTATTGTATACTGCATCTCCTTTGTGAGGTACTTTTTAATGTCTTCAAACTGATTTATAAAATAATTTCTTTGAGTCTCTCCATAGGTATTTTTATCACCTAACTTTCATTCCTGCAGTTGAACAAGATTAGGTGGCTTACCTTGACTAGGATAGGATGGTGCTGAAATTCAAACCAGAGCTTCAGACTCCTGTGTATGGGGGAGGTAGTAATGTGGAAATAATGGCTTAAGATGAGGGGTACACTACTTTTTTTCCCAGTGTACTGGTCTGTCATTGGATCTTTGCACTACTTATCCTAAAATAGGCCATATTTTCCCATTGGAACAGCTTACATTTGGAGATTTTGACCCCAAGCAAGAATTCAGTATTAGTTAAGTCATTGATATAACTAGCCATAGACATTTGTCAACATTTTGATTTGTAAATTTATGTTCCAACCTCAGATACAGTGCCTGGCACATAGTGGGGACTTTGTAAATGTCTGAATCAAATAAGAAGTGTCTTAAGTACATTGACCAAAAAAAGGTTCCTAAAAGATTTTAAGTTTAAATGGGTAGCTTCTTTTTTTTTTTTTTTTTTTTTTTTTTTTTTGTACCAGGGATCAAACGAAGGCCCTTGCACTTGTGAGGCAGGTGGTGTAACCACTGAGCCAAATGCCCGGCCTGCTGGGTAGCTTCTTTTTATCTATTCTATCAGCTTTTTCCTTTACCTATTTTGCAAGCAGAAGCTTTTGAAGTTACTTCATTGAAACATAATTAACTTCACAATCTATTAGGTCTGCCCTACCAACCATTATTCCTAATGTACTACATCTCCCATACAGTACTTCTCACATAGAAACCATTATGGATTTGAGAGTCATTTTTACCTGAGTTTGAATCCTTGCTCTAGCTCTTACTAGCTGTATGAGCTTGGACAAATTAATTTCTGTGAACCTATTCTTCAGCTTGTAAATTGGGAAGAGCACTTACTTTATAGGAATTTGTTAAGAATTTATTGAAATAACACGTAAAGAGCAGAGTTCCAGCTCCTTGTAGATACTCAGTAACAGCTGTTACATTTCCTCCTCTGCCCCACCTCAGCTTCCCTCTGCTTTCTTTGACTCTCAGTCAGGTATTATTATGTTTAAATTACCTTTTTTTTCTGCCAAGTATTCCTTGAATACTTGTCATAGTAAGCATGGTCATAGTAAGGACTTCTGAATCCCTAGTGCATGGTTCCCAGCTGGGCTTACAGTGTTTGTTGAACTATATGTGGAAAACCACCCAGAGCCTCTTTGTGTGCATTATCTTATAGCCTGCTGGATTCAGACACCCTTGAGTAAGCCGAGGAGCAGTGGATGTGTTATTCAGGAGCTCCTGGATTAAACTAGGGATTATGGTGAGAGGAGAGAATGGTGGGCACCGAGTGAGGAAGCCTGCAAAGCCTGCACTCTGAAGTCTTTTATGTATGTCAGGGTGTGTGTTTGTGTGTGTAATATGAAACCTTATCAGGCCAATTGCCACATTGCTTCTGAAGACACAAAAGAACTTTGCATGGAAAAGTTTCAAACATGTAAACATGCTGGGTGTGGTGGTGCATGCCTGTAATCCCAGCACTCGGGAGGCTGAAGCAGAAAGATCACCAGGAGTTCAACACCAGCCTGAACTGTACAGAGACCTTGTCACAGAAAGCGGGGGGAAGGGAGAGAACATAATAGTAATCGCAGTTGTTAATATTGTTTCTCTATCATTTATAACAGGGCATAGTAATTGTTATTCTTAGCCTAAATTGTCAGATTAACTTTGTTTTAAATTTTGTTTATTGAGTCAATAAAAAGTCAATATGCTTAGCACTCATTGATTATGACATGGACATTTACTCACAGAAAAAATAAAGAGAATATTGTTTAGGAATAGAATGAAATATTTTTCTCCCCCTCCTCCTACCATCCTCCTCCTTCTCCTCTTCCTGTTCTTCCTCTTCCTCCTCCTCTTCCTCCTCTTCCTCCTCTTCCTCTTTTTCCTCTTTTTCCTTTTCCTCCTCCTCTTCCTCCTCTTCCTCTCTCTTCTCTTGTTGTACTGGGAATCAAACTCAAGACTTGGCACTTGCAAAGCAGGCACAGTGCCACTGAGCTAAATCCCCAGCTGAAATTGTAATTCTTTTAATAGCAATGTATGGGCATTTTCACCATTTATAAATTGCTAATCAGCGTATAAATCAGATACACTTCAGAATTTTTTTCAGGATGATAAATTGTATTCAGGCCTCCCTCACCATTTTATTATGAACATTTTTGAACATATAGCAAAGTAAAAAGAAGTTTAAATATCTGTATGCCCACCACTTAGAGTCTACCATTAATACTTTAATTTTCATTGCTATGAGGTCAAAATATTCATACTATAAGTATACTTTTATATTTGAAGAGTTTGGCCTGAATGTTCTGTATTTTAGGTCAATTTTATTTTTTCTGTATATACTATCACATAATTTTTAGGCATGAATTAGAATTAATCTATCATGTTCTGAACATTTGGATTTCAGATGTAAATAAAGCTGCTTTTTCCTCCCTAACCCTAGTTCCAAAAAATGAGTCGTGGATATTCAGAAAACAATAATTTCCTGAACAATAACAACCAGATGGTACTGGATATGATCCTTTGTCCATTAATTGGAATCCCTCAGACCATCAACTGGGAAAGCGTTGCAAGACTTGTACCTGGATTAACACCCAAAGAGGTAAATAACAGTCCCCCAGTTGTTTTCTTTTTCTGTTGGTATGGGATTGGAACTCCAGGCAGGGCAGGCAGTGGCACCACTGAGCTAAATCCCCAGCCCCGCCCCCAGTTATTTTCTGAAAAACAGAAAAAGTAGTCAATTTAAAGAAACGACACCCTCGATAAATTTTTCCTATTCTTAGAAAAATAAAATAAATTTTAAAAATAAACAAGATAAAATATTTGAGTTTTACATATCTATATGCAGGTATAAACACTATGTGTATAGCTATATGATTTGACTAGGTGCAAACTATATAAATGGACACATTTAAATTCAGCCTCTGTTTAACTTACTGGAATGTCCTACTTTTCATCATGACATCATTTGACTCTACTTGGCACTAGTTCATCTGTCATAGACCAACTTCTTTCCTTACATGTATCTTTTTTGCTTTGCCATGCACAATTATAATGTGTCTTGGTATGAATTTAATTATCAACAAAAAAGCAAATGGGTACTTCAATATTTTGTCATCCTGGTAATTGAGGTGATTTTGTTTATGTAATTCTTAGAATCAAAACTTAATTTTTCTTTCAGTACTTGAGATTTATTTGGGGCCTTTGCATTGAGCTACATCTCCAGCCCTTTATAAAACTTTTTTATTTTGAGATAGGGTCTCACTAGGTCATTAAGTTGCCCAGGCTGAGCTCAAACTTGTGATCCTCCTGCCTCTGCCCCTCAGAGTGCTGGAATTACAGGTGTATGCCACCTGCTTGGCTAAAATTTTTAAAAAAAATTTTTTTTGGTATCAGGGATCGAACTTGTGTCCTTGCGCTTGCGAAGCAGGCAGCGGAACCACTGAGCTAAATCCCTGGCCCTAAAAATGCTTAAGATGCAGGGAGGCCTGTAGTTTGTCCATGAACATTCATTTGAGAAATAAATGGCATTATTTTCCTCAGTAGATTTTAAACATTTTCCCTACTGCCTGGCCCATCATACATACTTGATAAATAGGTATTGAATCAGTGAAAGTTTCACCCTTTTCCCTTATAGCTGGGAAAACTAGGCCCCAGAGATTATTCCCTTCACCTGTACTTGGCGGGGGGTTGTCTTGTGAAATTATGAGGTTAGTATTTTTTTAATGTATATCATCACTTTCTAATTTATATATATATTTTAAAGCAAAACATTTACTGGTATATTTTAGATATATACAATGATAACACTCACCGTGGGCACTTATCTATACATCAACCTTTCATTATGAATGCTTTCAAACCAACAGAAAAGTTGAAAGAATAGCACAATTCCATTTCCTTTAGACAGATTCGGCAATTCTTACTTTCTTGATATCTTCATAGGATTAATTTCTGTAACATAACTTTCAGACATCATGATGGTTTATCCCTATAGTCTGCAGAATATGTCTCCTTAAAATAAGGACATTATTGCATAGTTAGTCTATTATCAAACCTAAGAAAATTAACGATAACTCCATCATTCCAACTAATACAGTATTCACTGTATCTTCAAAAGTACCCAAGTAGAATTTTTTAGAATAAAAATATAAACCAGACATTGTGGCATATACCTGTGATCCCAACTCTCTGGGAGACGGGCAGAAAGATTGATTGCAAGTTCAAGCCTAGCTTGGGTAATTTAGTGTCTTAGAAAGACACTGTCTCAAAATAAAAAAGGCTAGGGATGTAGCTCAGGGTGAAAGGGCCTTGGTTCAGTCCCCAGTATGCGGGGGGGTGCTAAAATTCAACTAAACATGAATCAGTGTAGTTTTAGATAATTTTTAATACTTATTTTCTAAACAAAACATATCCTTAAAGAATGTATACATAGTAAAAAGTCAGAATTGTATTCAGAATTATAAATGTGACCTTTCCTAAGGAAAGGTATTGACACCTATATGTACCTTCCATATTTTTTCTATGCCTGAGTTTTTTGAACCCACGTCCTCATGTGTGCTAGGCCCACACTGGACCACTAAGCCACATCCCTGGATCCCTGTGGTAATTCTTAAAGGGAACATACAACATGTACTGTGTACTATTCTACTACTTGATTTATTTACTTAGCATATTGTAAACATCTTTGTATGTCTGTCAGTAGACTTCTGCAACATTCAGTAACAGTTTATTTGAACCATAACATAATTATTTATCCAGTCCCTTTTCTTGAGAGTAAAAGTTATTTTTTTCCAACTTTTATCTACTATACTACCACTGTAACAAATACCTTATTATCATTTCTTTAGGGGATAATCATAAAAACAGAATTGCTAGGTCAGAAGGCACATGCATTTTTGTGGCTTTTGTTGCATTTTGTCATGTTGCCCACTAGGAAGTCATCGTGTTTTTATATTTTAGTCAACATAGCTGAATGCCTGATCCTTGCATTTTTTTATATCAAGCATTGCTTATGCATCTATATGTGTTCAAAATTCTCACCTACAGGGCCAGGGATTTAGTCAGTGGTTCTACTGCCTGCCTCACAAGCATAAGGACCTGAGTTCAATTCCTGGTACAAAAAAAAAAAAAAAAAAACCTCACAAACATATTTCATTTTAATAAATTTTTTTTTATTTTAATTTGTTACTGTATATCATCCCTTTCTTTTTTTTTTTTTTTTTGAGGCAAAACATTTAGTGGTACATTTTAGATATATACAATGATAACACTTACCAGGTTTTTTGTTTTGTTTTGAGATAGGATCTTGATATGTTGCCCATTCTGGCCTCAAACTCCTGGGCTCAAGCAGCCCTCCTACCTTAGCCTCCCAGGTAGCTGTCATTACACGTGCACATCACCATGCTTGGCTCTCACTATAGTTTTACTTTTCTTTCTTTAAGTCCTGGAGATGTTGAAATTTTTTATTTTATTGTTCCATGGTTTTTTTTTTTATTTGTGAATTTGTTGCATTACGAATTTAGTAAGTTTTCTGTATACTGAGTATATCAATCCTGGCACTGTCTTTTCTGTTTCTTTTTAGCTTATAAAGTTATTAATGATAGTTTGTTATATTCAGATGTTTAAAACATATGTTAAAACCTTCGAATCTTTTACTTTGCTGTCTTACTTTTCTGTCACGTTGAGAAAATTGTCACCTCAGTTATGTATGATAACTATTTGCCTACATTTTCTTGATCACTTTCCTTTTTTACTTTTTTTTTTTTTTTTTTAACAGGGATCAAACTCAGGACCTCGTGCTTGCAAGGCAGACAGCAGAACCACTAAGCTAAATCCCTGACCCCTCTTTCCTTTTTTATATTTAAATCTTGACTCCATCTGGAGTTTAAACTTTTTTCTAATGACTAGTTAATTGCCCAATTTTTTTTGTTTTGTTTTGTTTTATGAGACAGGGTCTCACTATGTAGTTGAGACTGACCTGGAACTCACTATGTAGCCCAGGCTGGTCTCGAACTCACAGCGATCCTCCTGCCTCAGCCCCCCAAGTGCTGGGATTACAGGCGTGAGCTACCATACCCGGCTCGCCCAATGTTTATTGAATATTTTATTCTTTATTATTGGTTTGAAATGCTTCACATCTGTTTCTGTATTTAGTATTCTAATTTATTGATCACTTTATTCTTATAACCCCTCTAACAGTTTCACATTGACTTATTTTCAACGTTGTTTTAAGACCTAATCGACCAAAAAACTCTGTTATTTTTAAGTTTCTTGAATTTTTTTTTTTTACTAATTTCCTGGATTATAATTTTTTTCTATTTAAAGACGATATTTTGACAGAAAAGATGAATTACTTTTTTTGTACATTTTGATTTTTTTATTAATTGTTGAGTGGTAAACATTTTTATATAGTCTAGATGAAAGTCCTTTTTATGTTTGTTTGTTTGTTTGTTTGTTTGTTTCTGGTACTAGGGGTCAAACTCAGGACCTTGCATTTGCCAGGCAGGAGTGGTGCCACTAAGCTACATACCTGGCATGAAAGTCTTTTTTAAAAACTATTACTTTACTTTTCAAAGGACTAAGCCTTAGGTAGATATTTCTTAATATCTAGTAATCATGTAAACAATCATTATTTAAAGAGTGCTGGATATCTAGTAGGTAGCTGATAAATGAATGAGTTGCTCTTTTTTGATTGTTAATGCATATTATTCATATAAATAGTATATTTTCATCTCTCAAGATTACTTATATGGTATGTAACTTGCCATCCACATTGATGTTGATAGAGATTTTAAAGTGGATGCTATAGCAGTGTTTGATGAAGACCCATGGTAAGGAAGGCATTTTATATTATGGTTTAGAAACAAGATTTTCGTGAAGGAGTACTTAACCTTACTTAACCTTACTGTGCTTAACATAATCTTGATATTTTCTAATCTGTTGTACTATTTACTGTATTTCTTTTTTCTTCCTTTTTTTTTTTTTTTTTGGTACCGGGGATCAAACTTGTGTCCCTGCGCTTACAAAGCAGATGGTGGAACTACTGAGCTAAATCCCTGGCCCATGCGTGTCTTACATATTTCAATTAGGAGTGTGGCCTCAATATGTATCCATTTTCCTATGAATGACTCTAGTTTCTCATTCTTTATCCACCCCAAATTTTAAAGGAGATGAAGTATATCAATATCAGGCTTTTGTGTGTTGAAACAAGTGCACATTTTCTACGTGTTTTCAACTTATTAATATCCGCTTATGAAAAAGTTGATAGAACAGTCTTTAAATAGAGGGCAACAAAATATCTTGGTTTTTAAATTTAACCTTCATTTCTTTTGTTTTATATTGTAACAGTGTGCAAAAAGGTTTGATGAACTGAAAAGCAGTGGCAGCTCTCCTGTTGACAACCAGTATAATCCCTTAATGGCTGCTGGAGAGAGCCCAGTTGAAACTTTAGCCACATACATCAAATCTTCACTTCTTGACACCCAAGGAGATTTTCAGGAGACTCCAGTTGGTCAGGATGCAGTTTCCAAAACAGGTAAGTTCTTAAAACAACATTCAGTATGTGTCCTTAAGATAATTCTGCAAAATTTTACATATTCCTGTCAACTTTTCTTTGTGTTCACAGGCTGATAAAAACAGTATAAAATCTATCATATTTGTATCTTCCTGAATTTTAAAAATTATAACTATCTTCCCTATTTTTAAAAAATGTTTTAAAGTGTTAATTTACAGGTCAAACACTATTTCCAAAACAAAATCTTAACTATATCAAAATTTTCAACTCTAGTCTGTTGGCTTAGTTATTTCATATATTGTTTATTGTTTACTTTGTTAGAAAGGAAATTTGACCTCAACTGTACTTATTTTTTGTTTTTGTTTTGTTTGCTTTTTGAACTGGGAAGATCTTGCTTATCTCTTCATGTAATCTTTTTTACAGGTATTTTTTACTGCAGTTAACAAGATTTATGTACAGTGGCAAGGTAGAAGAAATGTTTTCTGAAATTTTATTGGAAATAGCTTGTTTTAGAAATCCTCAGGGTACTAAGTTAATCTCATCAGTAGAAGTTGGTATTGATATAAAACTTTGCTTATGCTTTTGGGTTTTGGACATTTAACTCTTGCTGATACATGCCACTTCAGTAGTTTTTGAAATGTTCATTGTAACATCAGCAGTGTATGATCTATTTTTTGTACTTTCTTCCATATAGCTGCAGAAATATTAATATTAAAATGAGAAATGCCACCTAAATACCCTCTTCAACTAGCTTTGGGAACAATGCATTTACAATCAATAAGTAAAAACCCATTTTCAGCAAGAAATGCTAACCCCCCACCTTTTTTTTTTTTGTATGTGTCTGTTTCTGTATTTAAGGAAGACATAGTATAGCTTCCACAAGGAATTGTTCTTCAGAAAGTGAAAATTGTACTACTCATAATGGTGGAGAAAAGACTGAAGAATCTGAAGGGTAGGAAGCTGGTTGTTTTTTAGATAAGATTTAGTATCAACTTTAAATTATAAAATACCATTTATGTTTATATGCATCAGTTATTATAATTTAGGAATTTCATATTATATAATTGCTGAAACAGTAGGAATCAGTTCATATATTGAACTATAAGCAGTTGCATAATACTTAAACATATGACTTATCCTGTTATCTACATGATAGCTTTCCATTTTAAAAAAATCACTTTCATATTTTTAAAATTAGAAATAACATCTGTTAACATAAAACTTTGAAAGATAAGTTTTAATACCCATAGAAAAATCTGTACGCCATTAATTTTCTAACTTTATTAAAGATTTTAGATGCTTTAGAACTATATGAAATATCCAACAGTTAAAATTGAAAGAGTATATCTTTCAATATATTATAAGTTTTGATATATTGTATTATTTTATGTATTTGTATAACAACCTGCATGCATTATATATATTCAGTTTGAGTTTTCATAAATAAGTGTACTATCACCTAAATAAGATACAGAACATTTTTATCATCCCTCAGTAGTTCTTCGTGTACCTTTAGTTTTGGTGGATTTTTAATAACAGCTTTATTAGTATAATTTATGTATCATAAAATTCATTTTTGGGGCTGGGGATTTAGCTCAGTGATTCCACTGCCTGCCTTGCAAGTGCAAGGATCTGAATTTGATCCCCAGTACCAAAAAAATGAATAAATAAATAAAATTCATTTTTGGAGGGTTTTTTGTTTTGTTTGCAATAATAGGAATTGAGGCCAGGGCCTTTAAACAGCTCCGTCCCTACCTCCCATCCCACTCACCAACTCCCTTTTTTTTTTAACTTCGAGGCAGGCACTGGCTATGTTGCTAAATATATAGGGCTGGGCTCAAATTTTCAGTCCTCCTGCTCAGACTCCCAGTGAGCTATGATTACAGGTGTGTGCCACTGCACCCACCTTAAAATTCTCCTTTTTAGAAAAACTTCTGGAAATGAGTGATGGTGATAATTGAATAGCAGTGTGAATGTTACTTAATGCCACTGAATTGTACACTTAAAAGTGAATAAAAGGGTAAATTTTATGTTACATGTATTTTACCACAATAAAAAAAGTATGTGTAGTTCAATAATTATTAGTGTATTCACGTACTTTTGATTTGTTTTGTTTTGTTTTGGTGGAGTTAGAGACTGAACCCAGAGCCTTGGGCATACTAGGCATTTGCAGCACCACTAAACTGCACCCA